CCACCCAGTGATCAATCATTTTTGAGAGATGAATGCTGCCCCTGTATTTAACACGATTTCTGATATCGCCTTTCTTCGGTATTTTGATGTGACGTCCTTCTTTCCTGTCTTTTGTACTTTTTCCCAAATCTTATTAAATTGAATTTGGAATATCCTTGCAGTTGCCGCTATGTCTGCTTTGTCTGTCTCTGCTGGTATGTTGTCTTGTCCTGCTTCTTTGCCATTCTTTATTTGGATGATGGCCATGCTGATTTCTTCAATCGTTTGTGAGCCAACATTGATTTTTAAGTCCGTGGGTGCTGCTTCGATATTGCGTGGGTTCGGTGGGGCTGGTCGATTCAAGAGTTCTTTGAAGTGTTCTATCCATCTGTTTTTTTGTTCCTCAATGTTGGTGATTACCTTGCCTCTCTTGCTTTTCTCTGGTCGTTCTGGTTTGCGGCGATTTCCAAAGAGTTTCTTTGTTATGTCATACACTTGTCTCATGTTTCCTTCTCTTCCAGCATTTTCTGCCGTCTCTGCTAGATCTTCCACATATTTACGTTTGTCGGTTCTGATGCTCTTCTTCACTTGTTTATTTACTTCTGTGTATTCAGCTTGTGTCTTGGCTTTTTCTGCTCTTGTTCGACTGGTATTGATTGCTGCCTTCTTGTTCCTCCTTTCTTGAATCTTATCCAGTGTATCAACAGTGATCCATTCCTTGTGGTGGTGCTTCTTGAGGCCCAGGACCTCATGACATGTTGAAGTGATTGCCTCTATGGTCCCCTTCCAGTTGCTCTCCATAGTAGTTCCTTCTCCATTGAGTAGATCATGAAAGGCCTGAAAATTATTGCTGAGGACTATCTTGAATTTGTTGAGTTTGTCAGTATTCTGAAGAAAGGCCGTATTGTACTTTTGTGATATTGTCCGCCCCATTGTCCAGTGCTTCTTGACTTTCAATTTCATCTTGGCGACCAGCGAGTGCTGCTCTGAGGCTATATCAGCTTCTCTCTTGGTTTGCACGTCCTCCATCGTCCTCCTGAACATTTTGTTGATGCAGATATGGTCGACTTGGTTCTGCGTAGTGTGATCCGGTGAAGTTCATGTGGCCTTGTGAATTCGTTTATGTGGGAATACAGTTTCGTCTAAGATCAGTTTATTGAAGGCACATATGTTTGCAAATCTCTCACCATTTTCGTTTCTTTCTCCCAGTCCGTGTCGTCCCATGATGTTTTCATATCCAGTGTTGTCCGTTCCAACCTTGGCATTGAAATCTCCCATCAGAATGGTCAGGTCCTTTGTTGGGCACTTCTCGGCGATTGACTGCAGCCTATTGTAGAATTGATCTTTAGCGTCTTCATTGTAATCGTTGGTAGGCGCATAGCATTGGATGATGTTCATTGAAATGCCCTCTTTCTTTGTTTTGAAGGAGGCTTTGATGATCCTTGGTGCATGAGATTCCCATCTTATAAGTGCATTTTATGCTCGTTTGGACAGCATCAATGCAACTCCTTGTGTATGTGGGGCATTTTCTTCTTCATGGCCGGAGTACAACAGAAGCTCTCCTGAAGTTAGTCATTGTAGTCCAACTTGCGTCTCATGTGTTTCACTGATCCCAAGCACCTCTAGATTGTATCTCCTCATTTCTGCAGCAATTTGGAGGGCTCTCCCGGTGTCCCACATTGTACGAACATTCTATGTACCTAAACAAATGGTCGCTCTGGTTGTCAGAAGGGGCATCGGCCTCGTAACTTCCGGAGGAATTCGACTTTCATCATGAGGCGTCATAGTTCTTCTAAATGAAGAACTTCTGACTCCCGGGGCAGAGTTTAAAAGGTTTGAATAATTTTTTCTGGTTAGCGATTTTTTAGCGAGTTAGTTTTCTACGGGATGGGGTCGCTAACCCCATGCCCAATCCTCCTCCTTTATCCTGGCTTGGGACCGGCAGTAGCCCCCGGAGGGACTTCAGTGTTTATTTTAACTTGAAGAATATGCAAATTATTTAACCACTGAATTTAATCCACTCCCTTTTTTCGAATTTTAATTTTTTGTTCAGAATTAATTAAATTGGTATGTTGAATAGTTCGCAAATCTATGACAGTGATCATGTTTGCTGTGCGACGCCCGATGTCGGGATTGCGCGATAACTGCTCACAAGATTTAAGTCTGGACTGTAACTTGTTCATGTGATAATTAGGAAAGTCATCATAAATAACTAACAAAGTAGGTTTTTTCCCTCGGAAAATGATATGCTGATATTATAAAACATTCATCTTTTGATTAGAAGTTTGAAAATGCAAGAGGCATATCTAGTTTGACACCATTTTAACGAGTAACACCTATAATTAAATCGTGCCCAACCAGTGAAATCAAAAATCAAAAGCTAGGAGATTAGAAGATACATTTGATAGGTTATTAATATACCGAGAAGTGACTGATCTCAACTGGTTGGAGGTTGTGCAAGAAGTTGAGCACAACGTTCCCACACTTGATCTGGTGTGGATACATGACCAAGTACCTTCAGCTAGGTGAGTCTTTTATAACTGATAAGGTCATCTATAAACATCGAAGACTGATAGAGCTATTGATTTAATGGATTTATTTAATGCTACTAGTTTCATAGATCACTTGTACTTCAGTGAAATTAGGGTCCGACTCTCTCTGGTTTTATTCTAAGGCTTTGAAAATAATAAAAAACATTTTAACAGTATAAATGTTACCTTAAATAGCATCATTTTATAACTTCTTATGGTGGCAAGGAAACAAACCCATCACTAATCAGATTATCCTAACACATTTTATTGATCGTGTAGCGTGGTGTGGAGTCAAGATGGACTATGAATACCGCTACCAAAAAACTCGTGCCAAATGACTCCATAAAATCCCGCGGACGCCAAATATCAGAAGGCAGTTAATGAACCAAGTCGAGATATATTTGCTGGTGATCTCGTGGTATCGAAAGGATACCGAGATCTTGTCAGTATACAAGCTTGGTTACAGAACGTAACCGAATTCGCGCGAAGTCACAATCAAAGTGTGTGAATAATGGATGCTTTTAGCACAGTTAAACAAAAGCACATTAAAACAGTCACCGGTACAATTGGTTATAATAATAATTGTTTTCAATAAACCAATCGTGTTCTCGTGATAAAAGTGAGTCACTACAATCGATTGATTTCCTTATAGGGTTATGACTGTAATATAATCCGTATCTAATTAGTAGATGAGTCTTACGGTTTAAGTACTCAAAGGTCGACTATTCAATCAAGGTAAGACAAACCTTTGGCCACATTCAAATTAACCACTAAATTAGACTTCTGCAAAATGCTTATTATCCGAAAGGTGTTTTGTGGAGATATTAGTTATGTTGTAGTTGAATTCATGAATCAATTTTACCTAGGCCACTATGAAAAACCTAGAAGCATTGGATGGCTGTTTCGTCTAATTGTGAGTCTCTCCATTAGTGTGCATCCATATTTGAACCCGAGACCTACCAGCCTCGCCTAAAACGTGTAACCTCTAAGGAACGAAACAGACGTAGAGTAGTTCTAGGTTTACATGGGGATCTAGCTTCAAATGACTCATGAATTTAACTACAAAATGCTTATTTGTGATGAGTTTCAACAATATAAGACATACAAACTTCTCAGTACTTGATATTTATCCACTAGACATCAATGGGAGATAGGACAGTGGATTATCAATTTCCGAATGAATAATACCATAATACAGTTGGATTGAAATTATTATGTGTAAAATGATTAATCTTAGATCATTTGTTTGCTTGGATCATTATATATATATATATATATATATATATATATATATATAATTGTAAGGTACTACAGCTCAGTTTCATAGCTTAAACTACACACCGATCTTGATCTAAGGACCACTGTAAACTAGTGAGGTCTGCTCAGCTGTTTCTTCTTCGCAGTAAAGGACTCTTCGGCATACACAACTCCAGTAAAGAGGATACTACGTAGCAACTTCCACATCAAGCGTCAACGCCTAACCTACAGACAATTGATCCGGTATCCATCGATGTATGTGTCAAAATTCGGTCAACTTAAATTTTGCGTTCCTCAGTCACTAGTCCATACGTTTGTTCTGTAAGATTATTAAAGGTAAACACTTCATGAAGGGAGTATAAGCACATTCATTCAGGAGTTTTACTCATGTATGCTTGCATCAAAGCGTTACACAACCCATGGTGGTCACCAAGAATTTTCGATAGTAACATAACTTTATCGTATATTGAAATAAGACAGTGATAGCTGAAAATATATCCTGATTTTCCAATCATTACTCCAGTTAATGGTGTAATGGTAGACCACGAAAGTTCTCATAGTAAAGTACGTACTAAATTATTATCTAATAGTTGAATTCATGAGTCTATTAGATCTAGATAACCACGGAAAACCCTGAAGTACTGGGCAGCTGTCTCGTTCTAGCATGGGCCTCCTCAGCAGTGCGCATCCACGATCCCGCCTTGTGAGATTTGAACTCATGACCTTCGGTGTGGCGCGCGAGCGCTTAACCTACAAACCACTGAGCCGGTACACAACGGTGTTAATGTCTAACGTCGGTCAATTCACGTAATTGCGCCACCGTCCATCATTGTCTTCGGTGAGTTACCATCTCAAAACAGATCCGGCTAAATTAATTGTTTTGTTCGATAATTTATTATAATTAGGAAGTAATTTATTGATTATCGCTTTACACAACACAATTATAAGCGATTGTAATACTTCAGAATAAAACTGATGAATAGAAATCTATTGCACAAGCAAGTAGCCGTCAGAACTCAGCAGCTTAGTAGATAACGCGATGACGATTGAAGCGAACGATTCTGTGATCAAATCGCAGGGTAAAAATCAATCCTGAGATGCAGGTACATCAAACTGATGTGTCCCAAATAGTATGAAACGCTCTTTAAACAGGATTTCACAGCTAGCCATTGTCCATCTTTGCCAATAATTTGAACTGTCGCAAAATCTGTCAATGCAATGCACAACGTTATTTTAGCGAAAAGACACTGGAATAAAATGAACATTGATACTGTTTTTCGGTTTTTCAGTTAATGAAAAAGTTGACAGAATTTTTATTAAAACAGTTTGAGAACAATATTTTGTTTGGTTGAAGTTTCGTTCATTCTTCTGGTTTCCTATTAAAAAACAACAAACGTATCAACAACGCACATTACACTTGAATCCATGTGTAAACAGGTAACCTTTTATGTTATTCAGAACCATCTTCAACAAATAAATTCAAACAACGCAATCGACAATTATTTGTCTACAACAACGAGTATTATAGGCAAAGTAATTTAGTAGTTCATTCAAGGGAGAACAATTTAAGCTTCATTGAGAAACAGCTAATGATATAGATGTTTGTAAACACCTCTAACCAACTATAAATATATCAGTGACACCTACAATAAAAGTTAATCAGAAATCCAGTTTAGATCAAATGATTTTTGTGTGATCTACCGAGTTGATAGATACCAGAAACCTTATCGTGAGAGGTCCAGAGAGTGATAAAGAGTGACAGAGACTCCAGGTAATCTTGGAAGATGAATAAACTGTTACTAGCACTCGGACTGATGGACAAACTATCTGGAGGAGTGCAGAAAACTCGTCTCTATTAAACTTGGATATCTTTCACGGTAGTGATACAGTTTTAAAAGTAAGCTAATATAGCCACTGGTTGAAGTTTGATAGTCGGACGTCATCTTATCTGACTTGCTTTGATAGCTGACCGTAACACTTTACATGACGGATTTAACATCCTTTCATAATTAACACAGAAGAATCGGTTTAACCAGTATAGTAACGAAAATACAAGCCTCTGTGTCCGTATGATGACAAAATTTTGATGTTGATGAGGAATTCTTGGGAGCTTGGACGGGTTTTAGACTTGAATGTGAATGTATCAACTAAATGCACACTCTTCAGGTTTTTAAATACAAGCAAACTTAATGGCATACAACAAGAGTCCTATTTCTTGACTCCGAGAAATCATTCGTCCGTATTGATCAAAAGCTTTCGTGTTAATTTTTTTGTTAAAATGCAGACCATAGCAGCAAACAAATCTTGCGAGTAATCTTTTTTATGGTGAATGTTTGCTTGTGTCGGAGATTGTAGTCAGGTTTACCAGAATTGTCATGTGATATCCATCAGAGATGGACAACATTCATCGTTTTTATTTATTTTATCTATAAATATTCCCTTATGAGTGACGATTCCATCACCTCACTTATCATGAGTTGATATTCGCACAAATGATGCACTGGTTGACCTAGTAAATGTCGACAAAGCCGAGTGAAGAAGCTGCACAGGAGACTGAGTAACGGAAGCTATAAGTTGTGATCGATTAGATTGTTTGGAACATGTGTCACCTGTGCCTATTCACCACTTGCTTCAACTGGCTGCTCCTAGTCCAACAGACAGCCTAATCAGGTGTTAGCATTAGTCTATGAAGTCACAGATTGTTGTTCCGAACTCATCAGTAGGTGCAGCACATATGATTTAAACCAATGCGTTAATAACAATCACTGTTTGGAGTTGTCAAGGTGTTGACATGGCTCAGAATCGTCCACTCTATCTTCCACTAGATATCGAACCTCAGTAATCCTCCATGCAAACGCTTTAAATCTACCATTTCAAACAATATTAAGGACGTGTAATTTTCATGACTATCATCGCTAACATTCTATCTCAATGTATTTTGTTACTTTCATCTCTATATGCTAATATGGTTTGACGATATGCACCAATACATACCGACAGCAGGGTCTAAGCTAGTGATAGTTGAATGATTGACGATTGCAACAGAACATTCATTGTCTCACATTTTAAGGAAGAATTGTTAAGGAGTCTTGACATTTTCGCTCTACAATCATTTGTAATTGTAAGATATGATTTGATAGTTTATTAAGTGAAAAGGTTGTCATCTGATTTAAGTTGGTGCATTCCCTAAGACATTTATTCAATCAATCAAGTAACTTAATGCATTTTAATCAATCCATTTACTACCTTGATTAGTTTATATGCGTGATAAATACTCATAGGTAATATTGCATACTATAACAAAGCCAATACAGCATCCAATAATATAAGCGAAGTTGCATAATGGCTAGCAGTGGAATGCAGTTTGAATCACGTTTCGTCCTATTTCAGAAATGTCAGCCGGATGTACCTGTATCTCAGAGTTGATGTTCACTCTGGGACTCGAACCCAGTACCACACTATAAGATCCAGATACATCCCACTGATGAATATTAAATAGGATGAAACGCGCGAGTGAAAATCGGAAAACATCTTCTAAGGTGATTACTCACATTTTTAGGCCTTTAAATTGAGTTTACTGAAGAAAAAATCAGAATTATTCAAAATGGTTTGTAAATAAGACAATATTATCATACAATTACAAGTTTATTTCTACATTACGTAACAAAACCCCTAAAGAGAGTACTTACTTTCTTCCTGCATTATACTTTCGTAGATTTTTATTCTTTCTTCTAATGAAAGTACTTAATAAGTTAGTCGATTATTATCAAACAATAAAAGTCACTTACATTCAAGGACATCTATTCTTTGAACTTCCATATTTGTCAATGTTTTAAGATGATCATCTGTAAATCATGATGAAAATGAACTAAATTTTATCGAAATTAACAGTGTACAGTACTTGTTGAAGAGATCCAGGAAAAGCGGAACACTGCTCTGAAAACAGAGAGGAGCATCGTATCCAATAGGCATTCAACTGAAGGTTTACCAGAAACATTTAGAATGTGGTAAGTCACACGCCGAGTTTTTGATAAAATGAATACCTATACAGCAACTATATTTGAGTGACCTTCCATAATTTTCTGGAAGGCCATCTGAAATACCATAAAAGATCTCGATTTTCTATACATAAACTGGCCTTTGAAGTAAAGCGTCTTCTTCCATATTTCGCCCCTGTCCTCAACTGTCCACGTTGTTGTAAAGATCTAGCCTGGAGGTTACTAGATGAACGTAGGAACCGAATCAAGCGTTCAATTGCAAGACATTTCATTATTAGACAGATCGCAACTGTAAGTTAACTAACCCATAAGAGAAATAAAAAAAGTTGGTGATCTGACGTTCAAAGGGATATTCTTGTGTAAACATTTCACTTTGCTTTTAAGAATAAATAAAATAGAGAAGCATATAATAATTTCCCAAGTTACTATAAGTATGAATGTTTGGTGGAGAATTTGTAAACGTGATTTTGTATACCAGATAGGATGAAACGCGCGTCAAACTGGATTCCACTTGTAGCCAATATCCATCTTTGCTTATAATCTGATAAAACTATTTTACTAAAACATCTTAGAATCACATACTGATTTCATTATCTCGTTGAAAATTAAAACGGCTACATACGGGAAATCAGGCCAAAAGGGGAGGGGAAGACCAAAGAAAATATTAAATTGATATACGGAGACCGATATGAGAAGAATGAACAACAATTGAGTAGAACTATAAGGGAAGGCCTAGGAAACAGAGTGTTTGAGCGTATTAGTCTGCGGCCTATTCTCCAATCGGAGTAACAGTCGTAAGTAAGTAAGCAAGTAGCTAATAGATAATTGGTCACTGTATAAACTATCGACTTCAAACGATAAATAATTTTCATTGGTATTATTTGCAGAAAACTTACTTAATTCACTGAGATATTTAATGAAGGCATGTTCGTATTTTGCTGTTTCAGCTTTCACTTCTGGATTTGCTATGAATTGTAATCAAAGTAAAACATGGCTAATTAAAGTGCTAGTTATATTACTCAGTAAAACTGTGATTTATAGACAACTTTTTCAAAGTGTTCATCTATCTACTAGAGCTAAACGAGGGTTATAAAGCAGTTTGAATTATAAGAATTACGATTCACAGTTTACGATTATGGCTAGGAATTAGATTTTGCGTTTCCATTAGGAACCGTCATCAGCTATAATGAGATGATGATTTGTAGCTTAAGTGGATGGTTATGATGAAGTTTTGTTCTATGAGCTGGATGGCATGGTTGTAGAGCATTCATCATTCTGTTGAAAGACATCAACACAAACTTTAGGTAGATTTCTATCATCGAAATCAGCTATAATGCCTAAACTTCATTTAGCCAAATGGATGATTAAACTTTGCGCTAAAATCCGACACCTGTTATCTTATACGTGATTGGTTCGTCCATAAATTATTGTCTCGCCAATGATAAAATTATTTACTTCACAATTCAGTTATTAATACCGAAAATTAGGTTAGTAGATGTTTCAAACAGTTTCTCCTCAGACTCCTTTATTCGCCCTAATATGATATTTTCAGATATTCAAAAAGTGTACAAAAATGAATTTGTTAGGGTTATAGAGATCATAGAGTTTCGATTGTTACCATTAAATGGATTAATGTTAGGCTACCGTCAGTTGTGAAGGTCCATGATCCCACACACAGGAATCCAATACTAAGACAAAACGGCTGTTCAATGCTACCAGTAATATATTGGTGTATCATCTATTGAAATTGCTATGCACCTTCAAATTTCTTGATTTTCCGCCTAAGATCTTGTTCAAAAAATTCAGGTAGAATACAGCTCCAACCAGCTCAAAGTACAAAACTCCGTCAAAAATGTGATTATGCTCAGAGTGTGTGTGATATGTTGACAATAAACATTAAATTGCTATCAGAGTTCACTTAAGTGAAAAACAAATCTTACTAAAACATCGGATTTCATGTGTCTAGATAAAGGATTTGTTTTGGTTCAAATACTCGTATCTGGACGAAATTAGAAAGAAGCGATGGAAGTGGATTGGGCATACATTGAGGAAAGCACCCAACTACGTCACAAGGTCAACCCTCACATGGAATCCTCAAGGTCAAAGGACAAGCGGAAGACCAAGGAGCACATTACATCGAGAAACCGAGACAGACATGAGAAGAAGGAACAACCACTGAATAGAAGAGAAGAGGAAGGCTGCGGACAGTGTGGGTTGAAGAATGCTGGTCGACGGCCTGTGCTCCATTGGGAGTAACAGTCGTGAGTAAATACTAGTATCTGAAAATATCACCCATTTTAAATCATGGAATTGATTTATAAAGTGTGAACCTCCGCCAGTTGTTGAAATACGATCCAACCAAACAAGGTTCTAACAGACTAATCATCGATATATAATGGAGAACACATTTAGACTGGAGATAGAACAATACACTTAATATGAATAAAATGGATAAGTTACAAGAAAGTGAAAATGCTTGCAAAGCCGAGCCGTGATATTCGATGAGTTAAATTTCGAATCAATGTTACTACGTCCACCATTATTGAGGTACTTTTAGTGTTACATGTTGAAAGTCTGTTTTCCCAGTTATCTCACAATCAGCTTTGAGGATTGTGGTCAGAATTCAATAGCACTAAGAGTACTAGCAAAGATTTCTGCACACAAAGCACACAGCATATATTTTACATCATACTATAAAGTGATTTTCTTATCCCGGTAGGATAGTTCAGTGGTAACGTTTCTAACCGTGGAGATGAGAGACACGCCTGTTACTCCTCGTGGAGAGAAATAGAACGCACATCAGTACTTTCCATTTAACTTTGTCCTGAGCAATCCTTTCCAGTTTCTAACCAGCTGTTATTCAACCTTATCACATATGCTTCTATTTACCAACGAAATGAGTTCTTTGACCTTCCTCTATTCCGTTTCTTATCAAGATTCTAAGTTAAGACATGCTTTGTGATATTGATTGATGATTTTCTCAATGTATTTCCTAACCAACACCTCCATCGTATTTTCCTGGTTTATTCTCTCCCATAGTAGGCTGTTGCTGATGGTATCTGAGAAACGAACGTTCATTATCTTACAGTGAAAATTGTTTACAAACACTTATACTTTTTTGATGATCGTTGTGATAGTTCTCCACGTTTCAGCTCCGTACATTAGAACTGTCTTTACGTTCGTAATGAAGATTCTCACTTTGATATTAGATCACAGTTGTTTTGAGTTGCATATGTTCTTCAAATGTGAGAATGCTATTAATGCTTTATCAATTCTTGCCTTGCTTCATTTTGACCCATAGACTATTATGATACGATTTTTCACCCTTGAGTTATGCTCACCCTATTAATTATAATCTCCCACATTCACAACCACCTTTGGTTAGATTTTGGTACAATTGTGCATTTTCTATTTTATGGCACTATATGGCCTGTTTGGTTTGAATATAAACACAGTATATTTGAACTAGAGGTCTCATATTGTGGAGGTTGAGATTTGTGTTCGGGACTTAAGAGGAATGCCTAGGCAAGAAGCAGGACCGGTAATGACTCTAGACTTCTTGTACGTGTTTATGTATCATTAGTCTAGTCGATAAATCAATGTTCTCTAATTGACGGTATCGTTACGTAATACATTCATAGGGCAGAGGGCCTTAAGATACAATAGTATTTTTTTCATAATATATTGGGTTAGTTGGATTGATCTTTGCATTCGGTTTAATTATTTGCTTGATCGATGTCAAAGTAAACGTCTTTAGTAATCAAATCACTTGGAGAAAAATATTTAAATGATGATAACGGACGGTTTGATTTAATAAAAATAGTAATGTATATTTATATTCACCAAGTTTGATGTGTTAAACTTGTTTATTCTGGTTGGCGTCTTGTTTACTAAAAGTCGTTGGAAGTGGATAGAACATACATTACAGATATCATTAAACTGAATCAAAAGGCATGCTGATTGTATACAATTCCAGGTTAGTCTGTTCCAATTTCGTTTGTTAATTCCAATACTAATGAGCACATTCTAGATACTACAGAGTTTTTATCCAATACAGTATCGGACAGACTCAGGATGAACTTCATAAAAAGACGTACAACCGATTATAGACACTTATACTCCTATTTAAGCTGTGGCGGATGTGGTGTTTAAATTAACTAATGACTCTTTTGTACTTGTTGAATGCTTGATTTCGAATTCCAAATACAATACATTCGTTTGTGCTTTTGTCTTACCTCTTAATTCAATTGCGTTATTTCTGGGACTCTTAGTTCGTACTATGATTCAAATTCTTTTCAAACATTATAGCTGCCTACGCTCCTCCACGAGGGGTAATGGACGTAAGACTTTGTCGTAAAAAAGTACACCACTGACTACGAAATATTATTTCATGTTAATTCGCGACATTGTTTTAACTATAATGATAATCTATTATCTATTCACGTCTTCTACATGTGAATAGTGCTCTATATAGATGAAATTCACAACACAAGGCGGGTTATGTTTGAGGGTTCTTTAACTAGCCAAACCTAGATCCTAGTGTCAATATTCACACGGTTCATAATCTTATTATCCGTCCTTTTCAACATAAAATTGACTAGTCAATGAGGTTCAAAATATACATGACGGGATAATACCAAACTTTACAGATACTTTTACTAGTTTAATGCCTAATTTATTAGCAAGAATATTATCACTCAACCCTCATCATAATTCTAACCCTAATTTATTTAAGAAACTCAGTCACACTGCATAATCACTGTAAAGTTAGGAATTAATTTATTCATGGAAAGATATATGTATATATATATATATATATATATATAACTGGCTATGGAACTCACCGTAGACTTTTGCAAGGGAATGTCCTGCTTCAACCATTTCCCTATACATTCTTTTAAGACGTACTTCAGTTGAAAAAAAATCAAGATAAAACAATTATATAGATCATCACACGGAACATGGTTTTAATTAAAGACCTTGTTCAATTTTCACCAATAATAATAATGATATAACTGTCTCTAGCGTGACATATCTCTCCCCATAAAAATTTTTTTAGTTAACAATAGTTCTGTACTAATTGCCTAATTCTACCAGGTTTTCAATAAATTTACTTACTTCCTTACGATTGTTACTCCTCGTGGAGGAGAATATGCCGCCCATAATTATTCGCCATTTAAATTTGTCCTGAGCAATACTTTCCAGTTTCTTTACAGTTGTTATTTTATCTTTTTCATATCTGCTTCTTTCTTTCAACGTATTGTGTTCTTTGACCTTCCTCTTTTCCGTTTCCATTCAAGATTTTCAAGTTAGGACATGCCTTGTGATGCAGTTCTATGATTTCTGTAATATATTTCCAATCCATTTCCATCGTCTTTTCCTAATTTTTTCAGTTTAAAGCTGGCTTGTTCTTTCCCACAGTAGGCTGTTGCTTATGGTGTTCGGCCAATGGACGTTGAGTATCTTGCAAAGACATCTATTTATAAATAATTTTATGTTATTGATGATGGTTGTAGTAGTCCTCCAAGTTTCAGTTCCATACAGTAGGACCGTCCTCATATTGGTATTGAAGATTCTGTCTTTGATATTGTTTGATGGTTGTTTTGATTTCTATATGTTCTTCAACTGTAGGAATGCTGTCATTGTTTTGCCAATCCTCGCATTCACGTCTGAATCAGATCTTCCTTGTTCATTGATGATACTACCCAAGTACGTGAAGGATTTCACTTCTTCCAAAGTTTCGCCATCAAATGTGATTGGGTTGGTGTTCTCTGTGTTGAATTTGAGAATGATCTAATAACAGTCTATGGAATACTCACATTATTAGGATAATGATCCAGTAACTCTTATAGCCACTTACATTATAGTACCAGTAACTATAGAGAATGAGATCACTTAATAAGCAATCGTATATCTCAGCTTACAGAATTCACTATACAAACAAGATTACAAATCAATAGTCTTTTATGTTACAGGTTTGCTTATTTGAAACTCTAATAAACATACATTTAGACTCTTTATATTGATTTTCAGTTTCTCCCAGAGTTGATTTTCTTTCATCAAGTGATTTCCCTTTAGTAGAATAAAAATGAAATCCAGTTATTAATGCAAATAATCTAATGTTTTCATCATGATGATTTACATTTCAATACATAAGTGATTTGTGTTTTATTTTGCACACATCCACGTTCTCACACCGTGGGATTTGAAACCAAGACCTATCAGTCTCGCGCGAGAACACTTAAACTCTAGATTATTGAGCTGATATCCAACGGTGGTAATGTCTAACTTTAATTGATCCACAACATTGAGTCACAGCTTATAGTTTGCAATCATCTTTTACACTTACAAGATGTATTTTAGTTTATACAATTGCCAATTTCTTCGCACAAAATGACTATTCAACCGAGGGCTTCAACGGTTAGTCAGTAATGCAGTTTTCGATATTATGTGCTTAGTAGTAGTAGTAGTAGTAGTAGTAGTAGTAGTAGTAGTAGTAGTAGTAGTAGTAGTAGTAGTAGTAGGCGTTTTCACAAATACTTCAAGATTTCTGATAAGGTTATTAAATAAATACAGGTACACTCAACAGATGAGTCTCAAATAGGACGAAACGCACGTCGAACCGTATTCCACTATTTGCCACTATCCATCGTTGCTTATGAAGGTTGTAAATTAAGGCTTTACGCACAGTATGCACATAAACAAATAAAAAACCAATCAACTGCAGTCCTGAATAACAATGGGAATATACAAGTAAACATCAACAAGTGAATTTACTAGATGATTTCACACAGTATTGAAGTAAGCTTCAACAGCTATTGGCTGGAATTGACTTTCACAAATTCTTACTTAAATATTGATTGATAAAACTTCATTCTCAATATGGATATCAAGTACTCACCGTTATTTTCTGTCAAAGACGAGCTTTTGGATGAAGTTTTCATGTTCAAGTATATGTCTGCATGAAACAAAAAACAATAGCAGTCAATGTGAATTTGAAAGTAGTATGTATAGACTTTGATTCCTCATGAATTTATAATTTTAACAGTTGAACCCATTCAAAATGTTATTTGCACTGAGGTATTTTCTTGAGGCAGATTCACAAAACTCTTCGTAGAAAGCCAAAAAGAAAGGCTCTGAAAACATTGAGAATCATCTTATCTAATGAGCATCTATTAGACGTTTATGCAAAATTCAAGCAAAACATCAATAATTTGACAGGTCATATACGCACTTGTGATTGAATGATTATCTATGCTGCTAGTTTGTTCATGAGCTCTCCAAAACGTTTCAGAAACACAAGGACATCTCAAACTCTATAAAAACCTTGAATCTTTCGTACATGAACTGATCTTTGATGTATGAAGTTTGCTGTCTTCCCTGTGTCGGTTATGATTGTTAATGCATCAAAAATGACAGTGTTTTGTTTGACTCCTGTTCTATTGTGAACTTGATGTCATGGAAGACATTGTTGGTCATTTTGTAGGTGAAAGCATCGACGATTTTCAATGATCAGTGCATGAAATTCTATTGAAGAATATGAAATCATATATCATGTTTGAAAAGTTCACCGAATGAGGATTACGAAGTAAGGCTAATACAAACTATTTTCTTGTAGATCAGCATTAATATTCAGTGGAATATATATATAATTATATTACATATGTAGTAAGTATACTCATTCATAGATTTAATGGACTGATATAGTTTCTTTATTGGTCAAGTGTATTTCATTACTGATTATGTGATGTTGAAAAGTTTTTATCTAAAACCTACTGGTTGCTAGGTCAAAGTTTAATCTTGCATCCCACTTCATCTTTATTGCAGATTCTAATAAACTATCGACTACAATAGATGATTGAAAAAAGAAAAAAATTTATCGAATGTATTACTCTTATTATCACGAATTATATATAAGCCAACTCCAATTCATTCCATTAAGATTTTGTCAGTCAGTCAGCTACAACTTAGGATCAGGCACATATGTGCATCGATCTAAGTTGTCACACCATGCTCATTAGCACAACAAGATGAACACCGAATTTATCGAAGTAGTTACTTCAATGGTAGTAATATATGAAAGATTGTGTATAAAGGATATAGTACAGAAACAAAGTATAGTTGGTAGAAAGAAAGATATAGAGCGATTTTAATCTTGAGATGATGGCGATTTTAATCACATAGATTATGGAGGAAAAATAGTGCATGTACGCCACGCGGACCTCAACCAAGTAGTCTGCATTCCCCAACATAGCTCATACTAGAAGGTGGTGACTTCAAGCACTGATGCCACATTTTGGGTTGTTCTCCCAAAACTTTCTTATAACCGGCCTCAACACCAGTCAGTCAGTATTGCGCGTCGTCGTCGTCGGTGTCCAGGCATACGCAACACGTGGCCCAAGCATCTCAGTCGATGAAAATTCACAACCTCATCAACCGATTTACCATCATTCCTTAATACCCTCCATCTACCTTGACTATTACTTACCTGATGATCCCAGCAGATGCGAGCAATATTTCTAAGGTATCTGTGGTCAAACACTAGTAGCTACGAGTGTCTTCTACGCTTAACGGCCATGTTTCGCTGCCGTATATTAAAACAAAACGGACTGCCGCGCATTACATTCGTCCTTTTATTGAAAGGTGGATATCTCGCCTTTGCCATAAGTGACGTAAGTTGGCAAAAGCCAAACGAGCTTCCTGGATCTGTGAAGAGATTTCGTCAGACGCCATCCCACCAGGGTTGACCAGACTTCCGAGATAAGTGAAGTTGTCGACGCTCCCTATCGTTACTTCAGTGGTTGATGCAATGCAGTCCTGAAACAACAACACCTTTTAATGATAGACACTGCTCCTAAGTCAAGAAAAACTATCATTGTCGGACGCCGAAAAGCACGTGTGTTCTAGAACTTGACGAATGGTGAATATGTGGTGGATACAGCTACGACCAGGTCTGAAGACACAGCTATTCCTTTTTTTTTTTCCAAGCAACATCTGGGTGACCCCTATTTTCAGAAAATATCAAGTGTGACCTCAGTTGTTTTTCAGATCTACTTTCGGCTTTCTCGTCACTGAGTTTCAATGTATTGGGCGAGGCGCAAGCAAATGCATGCTTGTATTAGAGCATGATCGGAGTCCAGACAAGTAATCCAGAACGAGCGAGTTTTCCATCGAGAATCTCCAATGATGACTGATGACAAAACGATCTCTTTGAATTCATCGTTGGTTGAGTGCAGCGGGTCACCATGTTAGACGATGTCTCTCCTTATGCTTAAAATTTGTGATTGCTAAAAATGATCACGTTTTGATGCCGTAAACTAGAACAGAACAAACTGACGTGCAGTATACTAATATATAATATAGGCAAAAATATATAAATATGGCTAGTTGTTTATGTTCAATACAACCTCATTATAAAAGCTACTAAACCGCTTACATAGATATCAATTTACTATTGTGATATGCTTAGATCTTAGAACAGTGACAAGTTACTGTGACAGATTTCATACAGAACATATGCACATCATGTATAGTAACCGTCAAATGATAACATAAGTAGACGTGTTTTAAACTTACAATAGTCCTCAAGATCTGAATTCGTCTTTATATCAGATAGTCGTTCATAATTTTCTGATAAAAGAATGGTAACACAGACTATTATGTTAATGAAATGTTCATCATTTTTTGCTCTTTCAATGAAGTATAATGAACATCGAAATATTCCATAAATGAGGCAAAATGCGATGTGTAAAGTTATCTGATGAGACCCATGAAGTTTTGTGTATGGGTTTATCAAGGAATATTGAGCCACCTATAGTCAATTTTTTGAGTAAACGTTGATTGTCGAAACTCCTCATGTTTTATTTCTTTTTCCCAGTCCATGTTGTCTAATGATATCTTCATAAACGTTGTTTACATTACGTCGTTTGATGTTTAGGTTCACCATCGGGTCATTTCTTGAGCACTTTACTATGATCGACTGCAGCCTGTCATAGAACGGATCCTTTTCATCGTCATAGCTATCATTGGTGGGTGCATAAAAATGGATAACATTCATTGTAATACTCTGATTCTTTGTTTTTGAAGATGGTTTTATGATCACTGATCAATGTTATTCTCTTTCTTTACGTGATTTGTGTGCTTCTTTGAACAACATGAGAGGAAATGCCTGTCTACAAGGGGCATTTCCTTCTTTGTGCTTCAATAATAATTGTTGATCTGATTATTAGAAGAAGAAATGGCTGTGTGATTTCCGAAGGCTCTCGCCTTTCATCATGAGGTATCACATTTCTTCCTTCATTCGGAAGGCGAATTTTAAATGGTCTAATCTTTTTTACCCCGGTTGATGTTTTTTGAGCAAGATGATTTTCAACGAGATGTAGTTGCTGCCCTCATGTACAACCCTCTTATTTTATACGCCCTGTGGAACATTAGTGACCCTAGAATAGCTACAAACGGAGTTAATCTAAGTTTAATCATAAAATAGTGTTGAATGTGGAGTCGTGTGAAAGCAACACCAATCTCCGATATTCCACAGCATATTTTGCAATGATAAAGCCTCATAAACTAGGCACACATCTACCACAGTGAATACAACAACATTAAAATTTGCCGCAGTTATTTATCAGTTATCAATGTGAAATACATACAAAATGAATTGACTTACCTGAGTACGTCTGCAGTAAATTAGCATCATTGGGAGTGATATCTGTATTTAGTAAAAATCACTCGAGTATTAATCCTGGAAACTAAAATGGTGTTGTTCTTTAGAAACATATTACTCCATCATTCTGTTGCACTAATAATGCATTTACAAACTGTTTGTCCAAACGTTAACATTACATTATGCATGATATTTGCTAATGGGATGTGGTTGTATTTTGTTACTCACTTCCCACTATTAAGCCTCCATAGAGCCAAAGAACTGTGGCGAAACCAGAACGTTCCTAAATTACTTACGTAAAACGATAAACTCAATAGAAGCATAGGCCACTGACCAGTGATGTTTAATCAACACCGTCTTGGTACCTTCTTTACAGTTAATGCTTATTACTATTCATCGTCTTTACATATATTTCCATGCTGGCTTGTTCACAGAGACAGTCGACTATTGGTTAAACTATCCCGTCAAAATATAAGAACATATGTCTTAAAAACTTTATAAATAACACTAAGTTACTGATATTGATTGTCATAATTTGCAAGTTTTACTGTCTTCGTTTAAAATGTATAGTGAAAATTTTGACTTTGACTAGAATTGACAGTTACTTTGAGCTTCAGATATCCATCAGTTTAAGAAGTAATGCACCTCCTTTCAAACAACCTGCTGATCTATTTATTCATGCGATTGTCATAGATCTTGTTCATTGTAATGATTTGAAGCATATCTCAGGTAGCTTTGTGTATGTGTTTGTGTGGTAATATGGATACATCTCTAGCCAATACTTGGAAAACACATACATCTGCAAATTGCACACCAGTTTTGTGCAATTGTCGCAAAACATATTGCCTCATGACACATCATCATGCCTGATGTTATCCATTTTGAACAATTCAGACTGTAGTTTGTCTTCTCTTATCCACACTGTGTCCAATCAGCTTCACTCATTGCAGACAATGCCTGATTGTATGTTCTCATCTACACTGTTAACCAAATATCATTCGCAGTTTCAAAACTTGACCTGATATTCCATTCACTTTTAATAGCTGCTTCTGTGGTTGTTAGACTGAATATCGCTATCGTGACATCATAAGAGTTCCGTGTTTCATCATGAACTGTCATAGTCATTCAATATGGGGTCACTTCCATACTCAGGACACAATTTCAATGGTTTCATTGATTGTCTCTGATAAGATTTATTTCACCGACGTTGTTAGACAACTATTATTAGGTATCTTTTACAACATATTTGCAATAAATAAATAAATATACACATCAACCTACTTTTGAATAGATCTAAAATCCATTTAGCTGCATACAATTTTTCTAGCCTCATTACTTCTATTAAATGCAAAAACGGTACAAGAAAATCAGTGAAATGTGAAGACAGAAGCTTATCTGTAAACATCTAATTCGTCTGATCAGTGGATAGTTTTACTTACAGGTGACTAGAAGATTTGGAATCACAGTTAAAACATGTATGGGTAACGTTAATGATATATGTCACCAACAGATATAAATTGAAGTTAGTTTTCTGGCATATGAATTTGCAGTTGTATTTAATCGTTATCATGTTGAATGAAGGTGTGAAATCTGAAAAGAAACCCTTTTTCATCGCTCAAATATATGATCATGACTAAATATTAAACACTGAGTTAAGTGATATAGATCATCAGTACACTATTTATATTATCCAAGAGCATAATGTTATCAGTATGGGGTTGCAGATATTATTATGTTTTTGATTGAAATCATTAATCGATTGATGTTAAACCACCATTGTGTACCTGGAAGCACTGGAAGCCCTTTTCCTATTATTGTGAGACTTCTCTTTATTGCGCATCCCTGATTTTGCTTGCAGGTCTTGAACGTATGGTCGTCGGTCTCGCGTGCGGACGCCTGAACTCTGGAACACTGAGTAGGCATCTAACGGTGTTAATGTGTAACCTCAATCAATTGGATGAAACGGCCGTTCAGTGCTTCCAGGTTTTCAATGGTGGTCTAAAATCAATCGGTTCATGATCTCGATCAATAACAGAACTTCAGTTGTTTCTGGAAAAATTATTAAAAAGGATGAAATAAACTATAATGAATCATCAGTTACGTAGTAAGCTGCAACATATTTAATAAGTAATAGGATATTTAACTCACCATCTCGGAATGGTTTTTCATCATCTTGATACACGTATGCAATCTGTTTCTCTACGTGAACTTATTAACAAAAAATATATCAGAAGGGGCTATTTGTGGATATTATAGTAATTTTAATAATTGAGATCATGAGTCAATTGAAACTACAATGCACTGTGCTGAGGAGATTTATAATAGAAAGAAATGCCGAACCAGTGCTTCATGGTTTCCCATGATGTTTTACCTTTAATTGACTCATGATCTCAACTAATATAGTGAAAATACGTCATTAGCTTATGTATGCATACTGAAATGTTAATTTAAATCATTCCCTCTCAATACGATTTATCCACACTTTTCGAATTACTTACGTTTTTCATATTGAAGATCTTTGATACTTTCAGCGTACACTTTTAGTTTGAAGTATACATCTATGGTTTATGAAATAGACATTTTTTCAATTAAAAGGTTTATCTTCACACGTATATGTACATTTAATTACTATGACAAACAACTGCGAGAATTTAATAAATGTGTTAGGCAGCCAAAGTATAAAGTATGTATATATATTCTCAGTTTGACTACGAGGAAGAAATCGACAGCATGGATAGGACAACATTATGGAGGCTTCTTCGGGATATACGACGTGCCCGAGAACATAGTCAACATCATAGAGGATGCTTATGATGAACTGAACTGCAAAATTGTGCACGGAGGACTTCTTACAGACTCGTTTGCAGTAAAGACCGGTATCAGGCAAGATTGATTACTCTTACTTTTTCTCTTTCTACTGGTGATCAACTGAATTATGAAGATATCGACATCTGAGAGGGAAGTACGAGTTATAGTGGACAGCTGGAATACGGCTGTACGATATAGTCTTCACAGATTGGTTTGTTCTTCTATCGTAAATGCAACAACAAATGCAGGAGAATACGACCAGTGTAGCAGCAACAGCAGCGGTAGGTCTCAACATACACAAAGAGAAAAACTGGATTCCTTGATATAACACAGCATACACTAATCGAATGACACTTAACAAAGAAGCTCTTGAGGATGCAAGAACCTTGACTCGGACACAAACTGAGGGTAACTAGACTATGTAAGTGAGTAAGTTAGCAACATTCACTGCTTCTTTAGCTTTCCTGGTCAATGTTTAATACATTTACTTGTCAGCCTATTCGTTTCCTTAATGTTTTCTATGTCAAAACGTCGATGAATAGTTGCGAGCTTGCTCTCTACGAATAAACTATGAAAAGAATTTAACGAATATGCACTGACATTATGGATCGGTTGGTCTTTGTTAGCTTAATAGTTTGAAAGTTGTTAGATAGTAGAGTTCTATTCTAAAACTCGTCTAATTGTATCCTTCTTTTTGTATTGTCATTCAACTAACAAATACATTTCAACTTTCCAATGTTGTAAAAGTGCTACTCGAGTATGTTCAAATATCATTGAATAACTAATATTTCATTCGTTATGGGCATGCAGTTACAAAAAATTCCCAGATTACTCATTATCTCACCTTCAAGTACATAACTTGCCTTATCTGCTGTCACCAGATATTGTACACCTTTAAATTAAGAAATAAATTGATATTTGTTTTACAACATAACATTATTGATATAAATAGAAAGAAGAGCAAGTAAAGTTAGTGCGGAGCAAAGGAAGTTCTGATATCTATAGTTTTCCGGTTAAGTTGTAGACAATCTTAAGATATTTGACCAATGCAGTTGCCACTCACTCGTCGTGGTCGTTATTTCAATAAATAGTTACAATTAGTAGTCATGTTGCTTTATTATGATTCATGTTTGTGGATAGTCTGATAAGGGTCAGATGAGTTACATATTCTCCTAGCCTTATTATTACTGACTGATACATCCTGTTGGATTGTGTCGAATTGCTGTCGGATTTTGTTGTAGAAATATAGTTACATTCTAGTCAGATTAGTCATGTGTTCTTGATTTGAGTTGTGTTGAAGTCCTTTTGAATAATAGAAGCAATTTGGTGTAGAGATTTGTCTAAGGCAAATTAACGTCCCATTTGTGTGTACAAAGAAGATTGAGCATTATAACAGATTCATTATAAGTGAGTTATAAAGAATGATTGGGAAGACTTCTTTTTAAATGTCATCTGAAAGTGAAGACCTCCATCAGTTCAACATCCTAATTACTGAAAATAACACATGTATAGTAAATGTTTATAGTAAGTATAGTTCTAAACTTGAAACAAACCTAATATTCAAGAATATTACTGGTTTATAAAATTGTAAGTTCAGCTTTTGAATAAATTTCACATGAACATTGTGGGATGACGGCTCAGTGGTCTAGAGGTAAAGCGTTTGTTTGAGAAACTGGAGGCCCTGGGTTTGAATCCTGCAAATGAGACCGTAAATGAGCACTGCTGTGGAGTTCCACAACAGGACGAATCGTTCGTTTAGTGCATCCAGGTTTTCAATGATGGTTTAACATGAATCGGTTCATGATCTCAATCAAAAACTTAATAACCTCCACAACCCTATACTGTTAAATTCTTTCATTTGATTTCACTTCACATGTTCATATGTAATTCACATCATGTCAATATACATAGTTTTTAATCAAATCATTGCCTAATACAAGCGAAGATAAATAGTGGTTAGCGATGGAATCTAGTTTGACGCGCGTTTTGTCCTATTTTGATACTTGTCAAATAGAGTTGATGTTTTTTGTGGAATTTTTACCCAATACTGTTCATTTCAAACGTCATCACGTTATCGCCTTAGTTATAGGTTATATATTATATAAGCATGTGATCAATAGTGATTATAGTGTGAATAAATTATTATAGATTTCAATGTTTAAGAAAATGAGTCCGTTGAAGCTAGACTATCATGGAAGAACTGAAAGCACTGGACGGCCGTTTCGTCAAATTGTGTGAGCCCAGCAATGCTCAATCACGACCTCCCTCCCTTGCGATATACGAACTCAGTACCTACTGGTTTCGCATTTAACCACAATACCACTTAGCTGGCATCCAACGATGTTAATGATCAGTACTTCCAAGTTTTTCATGGTAGTCTAGCTTCAAATGACTCATGATCTCAAACATTGAAATTGCTATGTGATCCAAAAAACACATCTGATATTATAAATTTATTCAAGGGAGGAAATATTGTCCATATTATACAATAGGATTCATAGTAAAAGCAAATGTCGTTTACTTACCAAGATAATATATAACAATCACTGCAGCTTGCATGAAACAGGCTTTCATTTGTTCCACAAAATAATCTTTTCACAATGAATGCTTTTTCAGTTATGCATGCATATTTATATATGAGGCAAATAGGTATAATCAAAGATGAGAAACGGAATCTGTGTGAACTCTGGAATGGATACTATTCTTATGTTTCTGAAGTAGTTTAACATTAAACATTATTTGTGAGAAGAAAAAAAACTAGTTACCAAGCCGTAACATATTCAGGTGTATGTTCAAAATAAACCAAGTGAATGGAGGGTGGGTAGGTTTTGTTAAGGACACTAAGTATATTACTTGTTAAACAAAGTAACATGTAATTCGTTAAATATACGCAGTACATACTTAAAATCAAGAAGGTGTACCTTTGAAGAGAAAAAAGGACATCACATCCTCAAGAAACTTGTGATACAGATGAGAAAACGATTTCTGAGTATATTACATTATTAGGCTTATTGTTTCTCACTTGCAAAATTAATGTTTTTGTTGTTAAGGTCAACCAATATATTATCTTGTGAAGAGTTATTTGGTGAGTTGTGAAGACTATACGTTAAATACTTTATTTGTTAGTCGTTCATCAATTGTTCTTTATATCCTTCATGACCCTTTCACTTCTCTACTTCTTTCGGTTTCTCTTTCATTTTTCCTCGGTTCAATCTTCTCAATTTTCTTTTGAAAAACCTTCCACTTCTGATCGTTGTTACATGATACAAATATCTATCAATATAATTAGCACGTACCACACTCGTTCCCCATTTCAATAAGCTGTTCTCGCAGTCGTTCCGATCACCGTATCACTGTATTCGTTGTCGTTGTTCGCATCATGGTGCGATTGAAACGATAAATTTAGTTAAACAGAATTTATGCACTTACGCTTCTCTCTTTACTAGATCATGTATACTGCTGTCAATTGAATTATTTGAGTCTTGTCAGATGTGGAGATCATAATAGCTCAATCAACTAACGATCAATCAATCATTCAGTATACGAAAAACCAAATAAAAACTGGAAAGCGATATGCCAGAAAACTAACTTCAATTTATGTCGTTTGGTGATAGATGGCATTGATGTAAAGAATACATATTCACTGAGACTGCAAATTTTATCGTCAGTAAAGCTATTCAGTGATCAGACGAATTGGATGTTTACAGATAAGCTTCTGTCTTCACATTTCACTGATATTCTTGTACCGTTTTTGCATTTAATAGAAGTAATGAGGCTAGAAAAATTGTATGCAGCCAAATGGATTTTAGATCTGCTCAAAAGTAGGTTGATGTGTATATTTATTTATTTATTGCAAATATGTTGTAAAAGATACCTAATAATAGTTGTCTAACAACGTCGGTGAAATAAATCTTATCAGAGACAATCAATGAAACCATTGAAATTGTGTCCTGAGTATGGAAGTGACCCCATATTGAATGACTATGACAGTTCATGATGAAACACGGAACTCTTATGATGTCACGATAGCGATATTCAGTCTAACAACCACAGAAGCAGCTATTAAAAGTGAATGGAATATCAGGTCAAGTTTTGAAACTGCGAATGATATTTGGTTAACAGTGTAGATGAGAACATACAATCAGGCATTGTCTGCAATGAGTGAAGCTGATTGGACACAGTGTGGATAAGAGAAGACAAACTACAGTCTGAATTGTTCAAAATGGATAACATCAGGCATGATGATGTGTCATGAGGCAATATGTTTTGCGACAATTGCACAAAACTGGTGTGCAATTTGCAGATGTATGTGTTTTCCAAGTATTGGCTACAGATGTATCCATATTACCACGCCAACACAAATACAAATCTACCTGGGATGTGCCACAACACACTGCACA